TGAATTATTTTGACATGAGCCGTGAGCTCTTTATTGTGGAAAAATATTATTGTTGAATTATTTTGGCATAAGTCGTGAGCTCTTTATTGTGAAAAAATATTATTGTTGAATTATTTTGGCATGAGCCGTGAGCTCTTTATTATGGAAAAATATTGTTGTTGATTTATTTTGATAAATTGAAATATTTGGGCACTTGAGGTGCAAATTGTGATATATTGTGATATTGATATGCATGCGGTGGTGTAAGGTTTGGGTGTTGAAACGTATGCGGTGAGATAAGGATGGCTTGATACGCGTAGCTAGTAGGGGAAACTACTAGAAGTCATGCGGTGTGATAAGGATGGCTAAAACGCGGGATGCTATTTCGGAAAAAATATTTTCTTTAAAATAAGTTGTGAAGGCTCCCGCGGTGATATAAGGAAATGAGATATTGTGAATTTATTTATGATTTGGGACTACGAGGCGGTACCTCGGGAGTGCCCTTGTTGATATTGATTTATGGCCGCAGTCGCCTTTGATTATTGTTATGATTTTCTTAAAGTTGAAAAGAATTCTATTTTGTTTTCACGAGGTATTAATTTCCATTATTTGGTGTAATTAAATGGTGACATACTACTTGACTCATTTCCATTGTCATATTATTTTATTATATTGTTAAACATTTTACCATGCCATTAATTATTTTTCAGTAGGGCCCTGACCTGACCTCGTCACTACTCTACCGAGGTTAGACTTGATACTTACTGGGTACCGCTGTGGTGTACTCATACTACGCTTCTGCACATCTTTTTGTGTAGATCCAGATTCCTCTTATCAGACCAGACATCAGTAAACTAGATGTACGAGGAGACTTCGAGGTATATCTGCCAGCGTCCGCAGACTCCGGAGTCCACTTCTATCTTACTATGTTGTGTTCCTTATTTGCTTTAGACTCTGATGTATAGAGACATAAAGAATAAATTCTTAAAAGCTTGTGACTTATTTCTACCGGGTTTTGGGAATTGTAACTATTTGAATTGTAGTTTATTTATTTCAGATATCTATTATATATTATTTCGCATTGATAGGCTTACTTAGTCTTAGAGACTAGGTGCCATCACGACTTCCTACGGAGGAAATTTGGGGTCGTGACACTTGACTTATGAAATTTAAGTTGACTAATTCAATTTACCATCTTATGTTAATATATATCGGAAATCCTAGAGGAGTTATATAAGTAATTAACTTCGTTAAAGGAAAAAAAGTGATTCTCTTCAAAGGATTTACGAGAGCATACATGAATATGTAAGTCATGTAAATTTAAGGACATGAACTTCGTCACATATGAAATGATTTATATATATATATTGTGGACTCACATATGAACTGGAGTAGTAAAGTTGTGGACTCATTCTTGAATTAATTAGTACATTCTTCTCTCACTGACTACAGAATATGATTGCAAAGTTAATTCTTTTTTATCCCTACTACTGCAATTTCTCCTTACACATTTGCAATTACGTACCATTGCGCCACGTATTTTGGTGACATAAGTTCACTAAATAAAATAAGAAAATTCAATAAATTCTAGGAACCCAAAATTAATGACACTCTCCCGATGCATTTCTTGTGAATGTAATTTCGTTGTGCACACATTTTTAAGAATTAAGGATATTTCTCACAAGTAAGTTAAAGCTGTATCACAAATATCTTTAATTTTTAGATATCGTTAAGAATTTTACATGCCTTTTTATGTTTTCTCTTTATTGTACATATTAAAAATAAATTAAGATATATATAAAGATTAAATGATTTAATTTTTTTTTAGAACTCACTAAAAAGAAAAGTTTGTCACACAAAACAAGTCAAAAGGACTATCATACTTAAAGGATATACATTATACATTTAGAAATCATATGAAAAACTACCCTTGAAAAAATATGATGCGATTGTTGAATTATTTTTAAAATTTAAGACTTGAGAATAAATTAATTTTTGGTAGTAAATGTTTTATTCCCTCAGTAGACAACTAAACTTATTGGAATTAGTCATATGAATACTCGAATATGGATTGCCTTAATCAAAGTGATATCCATGTGTACATTCTTGCACATTGCAAGGTTTTCTATTTGTTGTTCAACTCATTGGAAGAGGAAGAGGAAGATGATGCAAGAGGTGATGTAAGAAGACGGTTACAGTCTATTAAATTCTTCCAAACTTCTTAGAAGATAAGTAATTGGAAGTTAGTGATAATTTTCAAAGGTATTAATGGCTTCATTTGGAAGAGAGCTTCAAATACAGCTAATCAACTACTAAGTAGTAACTTTTCTTTTCACCGAACACCGCTTCTTTCAATTCCCATGTGCTTTCGTCTTCTGCTTCAAAAGAATGGGCCATTTTGGGTGTGTTTGGTACGTTGAAAATATTTTCTTTGATTTTTTTTTTGAAAAATAAGTAGTTTTCGTACTTATTTTTGGGTGTTTGTTTAGGTAACAAAAATATTTTTAAAAAATATATAATTTAGATATGAGACAAAATAGGTAAGGGCAGTGGAGAGTGGTAGGTCAGAGTCTAAAGGCTGAAGTAGCAGTGGCGATGTTAGGGTGAGGTTGGGTAGGGGTGGAGGGTGGTGGGGAATTGGGTGGGAAAGGTTTAAGAAAGAGTTTTGGAAATGTTTTTCCTCTTTTTGGCAAAGAAGTCATTTTTATTTTCAATTAGAGAAAAATGAGTTGATGCGAAAAATATTTTAAAAATATCTAGATCAACCAAATATGAAAAAATTAAAAAATATTTCTCAAAAAATATTTTTCTTGATATCAAACACACCCTTCTACTCTTTCTCTTTGCAAGGAACTACTAAGAGCTTCATTTCTTCTCTCTATCTTTTATTTTTTTTCTTTTTTCTTGAATGGTCTTTAAAGTTCTTCTCTAAAAAAGAATTATAAAAGATATGACGAAGTTTAGTGCTATTGAAATAGAGAAGACCTACTTTTTTGTGATAAGAGTTCCTCTCATGTTAATCATGAATTCATGATCAGGTCAGTTTGAGTCTCGATTTTGAATTTGATTTTTTAGTACTTTAAATTGCGCATGTATAAATAGGATTATATCTATAAAAAGAAATTTAGTGT